AATTATTAAAAAGTATTTTACATGAAATTAAAATGTCATTAAATGCCAATAAAATTTCTACACAAATAACGAAACGGTATTTATTGGGCGCATACATTATAGGAAAAAGAACAAGTGATTAAATGTATAAGAAATTAGGACACATGGATTTTAAGAAATCAGTACCAAAATTTTCCATCTCTGACAGAAATATTTGTATTTATTCATCTGGATAAGGAGTTAAGCAGAGATTGCATGGTCCTATTGAGACAGTTCTAAGACTGGGACACAGTTCATTGACAGTAGAGTATTTATTGAGGGGGGGGGGAAGTCAGTTTCTCGGCAGCCAATAACTACATGTTTTAAATTGTTTAAAGTCAAGCAGAATGTGCTAGAAATGGAGGTGTCTTGAACTAAGAAAGGTCAAAACAGTACACGCAGTTCTGCATGATTTTGTTAAAGGCCTCGGTCTCAACACTTGCAGAGCCATGGGCTTTAATACGTCTGAAATGTTGAATCTGAAATTGGTTGGCTATCAAATTTTTTCTGTTCAACTTAAAAACATATGAAAGGGAAAATAGTTTCTTGTTATACAAATAATAATAACAGATTAGGGCAAAGAGATCGAAACTGGGATCCTGGGCTAAAACTGAAAAGGTCCGTTTCCTTAAGCCATTACAATTTACTTAATTACAGGATAATCTGTCCCGCAGTGGACTAATCGTAAAGATCCCAGTAGAACACTAAAGTCAAGCATCACTGGCGTAAGTAGGTGGGTGATCACTTTGATCAGCCTGCGTAAGGATCAAGGGAGCGCGGTATCGGTCCCGTTAAACTATTCTACCTTAAAAAGCGCATGGGTCGTCGGGCTACAAAAGACATCTCCTCTTCAGGGGATAAAAATTGTGACGTCTTGTCTTTGAATCATCCTCAGGGATGTTTTCCAGACCGTCGCCAATAGCCCATTGTGCAGCTCTAGTGTGACGTAAATAAAGTACCTACCTACTTAAAGGACAATATTTGTAATATATATCATGGAGACACAATTATAAAATGCATAGGTATGTTTTTCAAGCTCTCGAGGAAACTTCAGACATGATTGAATTTAATTCGCTAAAATGAGCTATATTGTGCCAAGCTTAAAAGACAATGAATAATCAAAGTAAGAAAATCAAAGTATGTTATGAATTTAGGCCTGTAAAAGAGGTGGAAAGATTATTAAAACAACACAAAATAATGCAACAAGTTGTTATCTGAAGAAAGCAAATCCCTTCATGTATTGAGCTTCAGATAAAAATTTTAAAAATGGAATAGTTGCAAAAAAATGGCCGTGTCTGACCGTTGTGTAAAATGACCGTTAGACCGTTATATTAAGACTGGCGTGGAAAAGAAATTGTGGTAGAAAAGGTCACATGTTCGTGTCTGGAAGTCAATGAAGACCCTTACATGTTATTTTCATACAAGTGCTTAAGTGAAGTAAGAGTAACAGTCACACACGAAAATAAGATTTTTGGATACTTGAGATGAGCATTTGGGCAAAAAATTGAAAACTTACAATACCCTACAATCAGTGACACTTACAGTTTTTTATATTTATTTTTAATTTTCATGAAAAAAAGTACTTAAAAGGCTATTTTGTAGCTTTAGAAGTGACTATTTCATGCGATTTTTCCTACTTTGTAATAAAATTTAAAGTTTTCAAGGGTTTGGGAGAGCGACAATAAACAAGTATTTTTGAAAGAAAACAAGTATTTTTCACACCCTATGACAAAAAATCAGGTATAAAGCTTGTAACTTGTATGAATTACTTAGGCTGTTATTTACAATAACTGCATAAAATTTAGTAAATGTAAATTTAATTTTAATGAAGGCGTGAATATTTTCTTTTAAAAAAATTAGGCTAATGTTTTTTTGCTATAAATTTAAAAGTATTCAGTAAAATTAAATAAAATTTTTGGAGCAATCTAAAATTAATTACAAAGTTATTGTTTTAAAATTTGCAAAGCATACACCTCCAAATGAGGTGAACTAGGTTCTAATCCTAGCGATAGCTGGACGATACGAATTCCGCACCTGGTTCGTACAGACCACAGTGCTAACATGAGCTATCATCAGTGGTAGACTGATCTTGTATAAGAGTCCCCTAACCGTCAGTCTAACCGTGGAAGGTTTTCGTGGTTTTTCTCTCCATGTAAAGCAGTTTCATCAAGAAGTCCTCCAAAAAGGCAAATTTCTCTTAATATTTCCTCCAAGAGATTCCTTGTCTTCTGAATTGGATTCAAAAATACAAAGTTACTGAGATGAACATTATTAGTCGTAAACCCAAAATTGAGTCTGCTGTTCAAAGATGGTTATAAAATAAATAAGAAACATCATCAAAAGACATTCTGCATTTTAAAACAGGATTGTAAACCTATATAACTTGAAGAATAAATAGATCAGAAACATAAATTTATTATTTATGTTTCTGATCTATTTATTCTTCAAGTTATATGGGTTTTCAATCTTGTGGGATTGAGGCCCTAATAACGTGGGACTAGCCCCGCAAATATCATTTTATAAACGCCATTGAACACTCGATGCAATTTCGGGTTTACGGCTACTAATGTTCAGCTCCGTAGCCTTGTAATTTTCAACCCAATCCAGATGACAAAAACTCCTGGATCAGGTGCTGGAAGAAATATTGCCTTCCTAGAAGACTTTTTTGATTGAATGAACCCGCATTTGCGTTACATGGAGAGGAAAACCCCCAAAACCTCTCATGGTTAGCCCGACGTCAAGGTACTCTGACCCTTAATCCGTCTTCCACTGAGGATATTTACGTCAACACTGTGGTCGGTGCGAGCCGAGTGCGGAATTCGTATCGATCTACATTGCTGGGATTCAAACCCAGTTCATCTCATTGGAAGGCGAGTGCTCTCTCACCTGAGCCACCACTGCACTGCTTCCTGCAAGCATCATTACGGGATTCCGCTTGATTCCCATCCTGTGATATCTGGTTTACATTTCCTAAATTTAGCGTTGAGTAGCTTTATTTACCAGAATTCGCCAACTACCATAGATTGGACTCACTGTCAACTTAATGTGTAGAATAAAATGGACATGGAACGGTAGTATCTGAACTCAATTCTGACACGTTACAAAATCATTGGAGAATTTCAAAATTATATTAGTTCTTCAAAATAAAGCTGACTGTTTTTCTATTTTAAAATATGAAGTGATGGGAATCTGCTACTTTACTATTATTTGCTTATATTTAATAGCTTCTTTATAATTTTAAGAATACTGAGAGGGTGGAAAAGGGGTTTAATTTTCTTTCTTTGTAATTAGCATGCAAGCCCATATAATGGCTAAAGTAAATAAATAAAATAAATGAAAAATTTATAAAAAGGCTGGTGTTTTAAGATGTTTGTTTGATGTTTATTTATGTCACATTAGACCTGTAGAATGGGCGACTGTCTGCGAAAAATCCCTGAGGATAATCCGAAGACATGCCGTCACAATTTATATGCTCTGCGGAGCGGATGATTCCCCTGCTTTGGTAGTCTGACGATCTGTGCGCGAAGTTGAGCTCTTAATGGTAGAAAAGTTTAGCGAGGACCAATACCGCACACCCCCGGTTCCTTCGTAGCCTGATCAAAGTGGTCATCCACCCGCACACTGACCGTAGTCAATGATGCCTGCCTTTGGTGTTCTATTAGGAACAGTGTCTTACGATCAGTCCACTAAGTCCCTTAGTGGACTGATCCTAAAGATGCTAAGATGTAAGGGTGCTAAGATGTAGCCTTAGGGAGATAAGGAGCTAAGATGTAGCCTTAATGCATTGGAGTTTGGATTTATGAAATATCAGTAACCTAAATTTTAGTCAGAACTATTTTCTAATTCTACTGAACATATTTTGCATAAACGTCAGAGAATAATAGGGAATGTTTACCCGGTTTTATTCAAATATTACAAAATTTATTTGATATCAATTAAAAAAATTGTATGTTGCATGTCAGTCTGCATTAAGAGTTCGTATAGACAAAACCAGCATGCTCGGATTTACATGACAGGGGAATATTTTCCCTTTGCTAATGATCTAGAGTCATCGGCCCAAAAGCAGTGGGCACAATTTCAGAATCTCTCCAATACAGTGAATGTCTTATAAAATCAAATCACAAATTATAGAAAGTCTGCACAAAGGTACATCCTACGAAGGTAGCCGCTATGGCTCAGGGGATAGAGCGTTCGCCTTCCAATGAGGAGAACCGGGTTTGAATCCCAGTCGATACGAATTTCGCATCCGGCTTGCACCCACAAGAGCGCTGACGTGAAATATCCTCAGTTGTAGACTGATCATGGGTTAGAGATCCCTTGCCGCCAGGCTAACCGTGGGAGGTTCTTGTGTGTGGTCTTCCTCTCCATGTAAGGCAAAAGCGGGTTAGCTCCATCAAAAAGTCCTCCACGAAGGCATATTTCTCACAATACTCGATTCTGGCGTTCCCTTGCCTTCTAGATTGGGTTCAAAATTACAAGGCTATGGAGTTGAACATTAGTAGTCGTAAGCTCATAAAATTGGGTCGGCTGTACAACGACGTTATAAAAAAAGGGTACATCCTGGATGTAATTCTGAGATTTGAACCTTGTGCCTCCTGGCCTCTGAGTGTTTGGTAGATGGATGACTCTTCAGCCACAATAGCATCCTTCAATTAAATGAACGCTTGCTAGTAGATTTTGATTCCAGCTGAGAAACATTAAGATTACTTTCTCCCCATATTACTTTTACTGATAAATTTTTCATATTATTTGTTTTGAATAATGTAATATATTTTGGTGTCTCTATCGCTGATGGTCTCGTCGTTCTGGCGAACGTTCGGTAATATGGAGGTAGTGGGCTGAAGTTCTACCTTTTTGATTTCCTTCTCTACCTTGTGCTGCCCGTTCTTCAACTTCGCAAGATCTTATTAGTCATGCTTTATAATGAACATACAAGCTCACAAGTATATGTAACAATAAAAACAAAATAAATAATAATTTTTAAAACAAAATCAATAAAAATAATTTTACCAGAAATTCGCAATGCCAGTCAACAGTTTAGTTTCATCTGCAGTTCTTAAAAATACCTATTTCATTTGAATTTTCACCGAATAATAAAACCTAAATTCAATCATATTTTTCTCTCCTCTTGAAACATATTTTTGCATTCGTATCATTTTATCGCCTTTTAGCACACGTGGAAGTTAATTGAAAGTTAAACTGTTCTTTGAAAAAGTTATTGAGAATTACATTGCGTAAAATAAAAAAATGTCTAAGTAACCAAGTACAAAAAAAAAGAAAAAAAAGGCAAGCAGAATCAGAAAAATGCTAGATCCTGAAAACATCATCTTTTTTTTATTTACCCCCGTTAAACAAACTTTTGTTATCCTAGATAAAGAAACTTCAAAGATTTTTCTTTCCTTCACCGTCGAACTTTCTTCACACCTAGATCTTTTCTCTTTGGCGATCCAGATCCGGCAACCCTTTTGTGCTCTTCTCCTTCCGGACCTATCTGGCCCAAATAGCAGACAGCGCTCCGCGGCCGATGCTACCGGATAATTTTTCTCCCTACTTGTTGAACATCAGGAGTACTCAACAGCATGTGACGATTTATAGTATACGTTCCCGCGGGCCCTGTAGTTTTAGTAGTGGAGGACTACTTTTTAGTAAAGCCTCTTAGCTGAATCAGGGCTGTACTACCGTAGTTTTGACAGCTGTAGTTGTTATTTTTAATGCTATCGACCAATGTTTATTTTTTGATGCACTTTTTGCTGCACATCTTGTAATTGATCGCTTCTTCTGTGTGTAACCTCAGCACGAGCTTCCATATGTGTTTTCGTAATAATGTGTTTACTTGCAGTGTGATATATAAATGTATAGAAACTTATCAAAACTCGCATTTCTAAGCGATTTTTAAAGCACTTTCTAACTTTTGTGAGGAATATTTATTGTCTTCTAACGAAGTCCGTACCATAAATTAGGTAAGTGAATTTCATTTCTCTTGTTAAGAAATTTTTTTAAACCGTATAATTAAATTGTTCATAGATAATTAACAAACTTTCATATCGGTTTTCTCAATAATGTGTTTAATTTCAGTGTGTTACTTTTATGTATACAAACCAAACTCATCTAAACTCACATTTCTAATCGATTTTTAAAGTATTCTCTAATTTTATAGAGGAATATTTTTATTTTTTGAAGATGAAATACTTGCCATAAATTGGGTAACATAGTTAAAGTTTTTGTTTTGTATTGTTATATATTATAAAAATTATTTAAAAAATTTGTATGATTAATTTTGAAACGGAAACTATTAACTGACTTATAAAAAATGAAGAATTAAATTAATAAATGCATTTCAAGAAAAATCATAATTAAAACATTCGGTGCTATATTTGATCCTAATGATTAAACCTTTTATTTAAAGTTGTTTAAATTATTTTTAAAGAAAAAGAGCTACATTTAAAATATATTATATACTTTTTTACCTCTAAACAAATGATTATATGGCCTAACATGATCCAAAAAGATGATATTTAAACATTTGGCACTTTATTTTATTTCTATGACTAAAACAAAGTTTTTAAAGTGATTTAAAATATAATTTTTAAAAATAGCTCCTTTAAAAATAATAAGTAAAATGCATTTCTTATGTCTGATTCAATTTTTCTTTTAGAAAGTACTGAGCATTTCCAATTTATCTTTTTACAAATTATATTGAATTCAATGATTTTAGCTATGGTTTTTAGCTTTTATGGTATTTAGTTGCTGTTCTAATTCTCTATTACAAATGCTTATAATTTTATTGACTTTCATTTATTTATTTATTTACTGTAAGCTTAAAATAAACTATTTATATAATTCTTTGCTAAGGTATGAAATATGTATTTTAAGGTCTAAAAAGAATTCATTGTTGTTTGGATTAAAAACAAATTAAAGTTCTTTCCGTTAAATGATATTTAAGTATTATGCTTAGTTTTGTAAAGTTTGTATTTATGATTTTAAATTAAGTGTTTCCAACGGAATTAGAGTTATAATTTAAATTATTGAAATGAAAATTGATTATATTTGAAGAGCTTGGAGTATAGCGATACTTAAAATCTTACAATAAACTGTTTCTTAGTATGGTTTCAAGATGGGTGCTTTTGAAGTTCCTGGAATTGCCTTGTTAGATAGAAGACACAGAAAGAAAATATTTCATAGATAAAATAAAAATCATTGCAGATTTGTACAAAAAACGGTCTTGAAAACTACTCCTTGAGCAATTCAAAATCGTATATTATCATACTATAAAGCCGTAAATCTATCAATTTTACAGAATGACGCATCTGAGCATCTTTTCTTTCGCAGCAGCAAATTTATCGAAATTTTGGGGTCTAAAAAATTAAAATTGAAATAAATTACATAATTTATTTAATTTTTATAGAGAGTGTGATGTCAAGAGATAAATTCTTTAGATATAAATCTTTTTCTTTGTTTAAAGTCTGCATATATTTATCACCATGTTAATATTTCTGTTTATTTCGTTTACCAAAATTCAATTTAATTAGTTTCAACTCATGATAGGTATAATTTTAGTTTGTAATATTAATGTAAAACAAATATGATATTCAAAGATTCTCTACTATTCAACAAGTGGTGACCGCTAAGCGCCCTTTTTTCGTGCATTTTACTCAACGTTTACTGGTACAATTTATCTAACATTTTGGTGACTCGCTGATTTTCACACATCAAATTGTTCCTATGCTTTGAAAATCAGTGTTATTGTTTCGATGCCACAAGTAGCTAGCGTGTATTTAAACACTGCTTTTTAATCAATTGCGTTTCGTTTTTCTATAACCTGTTGCCGAAACTTTGAAGTTTTGGAGCACAACATGATATTTTTAAGCGTTTTTTTTAATAATTTTAAAATAAGTAAATGTTTTCTAAGGAGAATTATGGGAATTCCTGATGATGTAACAAGTGGAGAGCATATTCTAATAAAAAATTTTAAGAATAATATTTCTTTATAAATTGTTTTTAATAACTTATACGAATAAAACGACTGAAACATGACTTTAAATAAATATCAAATGTTTCAAATTTAATGCCAAAATGAGTGAAATATTTCTAAAATGCTCCAAATCGAAATCTTCAATGACTTTAAATTACTTTTTTATGGTGTTTTGGCAAAACAAAACTTCATTATTTTCTTTTGCAGAAATCTTATAAAATATGGAGTAAAAAATACAAGCGTATTTCGAAGAAGAAAATACAAATGAATAGTAAAATTGGGTTTTTGAACATTAAAATCAGTTAACTTTCTGAGAAAACGTCCATGAATTTTTTTCAGACAAACTAATTTTGAAGTTTCTAATTTCTTCTTTTTGCTGATCATCTCGATAATGATTCGTTATATTTTGATACAACTTTTTTTCTCTATCTCTTACAATCTTTATCTATGCATTTATTTACTAGATTTATAACAAAATATCCAAAAATAAGCGTGGTTCTTACTGAAAAATTTTATATACCCCAATTTAATTTCTTTATACATCATCTGGGTCGATTTAAATTTGTTATTTTTGATTAAGTATTCAAGTAATGGTACTTAAAACACTAAAGTCCCATGTCTCATAACATAATTAATAAAATATATAATTGAATATTTAATGAGGAAAAAAGATATCAAGCGTTATGAAGAGTTACAATTTTTTTCTTAAACTAATAAACTAATGAACTCTTTAAAAAGTCTTAGTTTAAAAAAAAAACACTTAATAAAGCTGGCGTTGAATTGCTTCTCCTATTTCTGACTAAATCTACTTTTTATTCTTTTAATTAATCACTTCTTTTAATAAATAATAAATAAGTATGCCATTGAAAATATTTCAGAAGAATATTTCGTTGTAAGGAAATTTATATTCCTAACTTAAACTACATTAAATTCCTTGTCGTTTTTATTTTCTATCTATGAACATTCAATTTATTTTTTCCGTGATTGAGATATATTTTTCAGAGATTTTGTATGCTTTAATTACTATCAAGAAGTAAATGTTTAACAATCAATTAAAATTAAACAATGCTAAAAGGAAAAATAAATACGACAGTGAAAAATAATTGGAATAATTATATACAAAAAACGCTTTAAACAAAATTTTAAAACTCGTCAAATTTTTATTTTGTTTTGAAAGACTAAAAATTAGCTGTTGTTGTTTTTATCATTATCATAATAGATATTCTTGTCACAAGAACTTTACTATTTTAGCCAAACAATGTTAATTGGATTATATTTTATTATGGAACTTAAACTTAAATATTTTCTTATAAACTCTATTCTCTGAAGCTTTTTTTATGATCAGAATGATAATTAATTTTATAAGACATTACTTTCATTGTTATAGAATATAAATGCGTGTTTAATTTCCATGCAAGTAACATACATATATTGTGAAAGAGCTATCTTTTTATAATTATATAAATCCTAACTTTGAATCCCACTTCTCTACAAAATTGCATTTATCAAAGTGTTACAAAAATATTTTGTTTATGAGACGTGCTAGCTTAAACAATTTGTGAGATAACTGTTATTTATTTAAATCTTAAAATAATGATTTTATTTTGTATTATTTTAATCATTTTATCCTCTCGGTATAGTCTCAGAATTTTGAAAGGGATAAATATGCGAAATTAGTTAGCGTCTTATAACATTAAAATTGTTTGAATATTCCATCCTTTTGCTTCGTTATGCATGCATTTGAAGGTGCTTTATACGAACATCCCCTCAGAATCTTTATTTTCTTTTAATAAATGTGTAATTCAAAATTTTTTTTCTCGTTCTTCTTTAGTTTATTATTTGAGTACACATAGTTCTTAATACAACGTTGTTTTATTCCCATGGGATTAGTATTTTTAAAATTGTATAGATTTTTAACTCATTTTATGTTTAGAGAATATGGTCATAATAATCATGATTATTTGATTCTTCAAATGCTCAAAATGAAAGTAGCAATTTGTAAAATAAAGAAATTTGTCATTCTTTTTTAAGAAATTGAACCCGATTGCGAGCCCTATTATATTAAACTTGTGGACCCTGCAAACTTAGTACTGTGCGGTTCTTGAAATGAATAAATAAAAAAGCTAAATTTTAATGTTGGTGCATGTGTACGTTTCCCGTTCAACCGTATAGAAGTCAAGTTCTACCAACTCCGCCCGGAATAAAAAAGGGTTACCATAAACGAGAAATCCGATCTTTTAGTAGTCCGAACTCAGTGACATCTTTTGTTGTATTTTTCCTCGCTGTGCAGTTTTGTAGCAAGTACGTGGTAACATATTTCGTATTTAATCCCCACTGCGCAGTTTATGTTCTTTACGTCGGACTACTGAATTGGTCCGTTCAGAGGCCTTCCTTCGTTTAGAAGGTGTTAGTTCAACTCATAGAGAAGCTAGAGAGAAAAATAAAAAAAAACTTTATCAAAATCTGATAAATCATTATTGAGCAAGATAAAAATTAGAAGTTTAAATGTATTTCCGCTGCCTAAGTACATCGAGAGGCAGTGAAAGGCGATTTTTAAAAGTACTATTTAGTTTTTTCCTGGTATAAAATCAGTTTTGCAATTCTTAATATCCACCTAAATGATACGAGTGTTTTCAAAGTAGGACAAATCACTAACTTTAAATGTAAATTTCTTTTGTGGAAATAAAAAAAATTAAAAAATATATATTAAGGTTGGGAATTCTGAAATACCCCACGAGTAAATAAAATTTAACAAAAGCTTGTATGCTCTCATGCCTTATATTCTCATACCGTGAGTATTTGACTGAAATAAAAATTTCTAAACGTATTTTTAATATTTTAAAATTAGCTATCATTATAGAGAAGTGTCCAAAAAGAATTTCAATTAATACAATGGATCAATTTCTTTCATTGAAGGCATTTACATTAGAGAGACAGTGGCGACGTCAGTAATATTGAATCCAGCCTATATTTATAACTTCTTTAAAT